AGTTGTTAATAACACTCCTGATCCCTTCCAATTGTTCTTAACTGTAGCACCTTTTGAAGGTTGCTGTGCTTTGAGGTTGTTTGGCTGATTTGTTTTTTCAGCCTCTGGCTAAAAATGCAGTCAATGAAGTCTGTTTACCTTGTGAATTACCTACAATGTGCAAGTATTGTACCAGCACACTGGCCAAGCTAGCAGAGTTATTGTGGACTAGCCTTAGGCAAAAGACCTCTTCGGTAACTTTAGGTTGGTTACTGTAATTACCATCTCTGAATCAGTCATTCAGATGTGCACTGAATTTTAGTTTTGTTGATTCCAAATGTGTCTGATTATAGAGAGGTGTGATCAAGGTAAGGATTATGTAACAGCATCTCTCTTCAAAAGCTTTTTGAAAGCACCTTGTTAACTGCTGTTTCAGGGAAATCACTTGCTTCCAGTAACTATGGCAAGACTAATCTATGCTGTGTTCTGCTATCTATGCTGCTGTCTCACAGAATCACAGAATGGTGGGGGTTGGAAGGGACCTCTGGAGACCATCTAGTCCAAGTGCCTGGCCAAAGCAGGCTCACCTAGGTCAGGTTGCACAGGAACACATCCAAGCGAGTTTTGAAAGTCTCCAGAGAAGGAGACTCCACAGCCTCTCTGGGCAGCCTGTTCCAGTGCTCTGTTGCACTCACAGTGAATAAATTTTCCCTTATGTTTAGGTGGAACTTCCTGTGTTCTAGTTTGTGCTTGATACCTCTTGTCCTATTGCTGGACACTGCTAAAAAGGGACAGGCTCCATCCTCTAGACAGCCAGCCTTTAAGTATTTACAAGCATTGGTAATCCCCCCTTAGTCTTCTCTTTTCCAGGCTCAACAGGCCCAGGTCTCTCAGTCTTTGCTTGTATGAGAGATGTTCCAGTCCCCTCATCATCTTTGTAGCCCTCTGTTGGACTTTTTCCAGTAGTTCCCTGTCTCCCTTGAACTGGGGAGCCCAGAACTAGACATGGTGTTCCACATGTGACCTCACCAGGGCAGGGTAGGGGGCGAGGAGAATCTCCCTTGACCTGCTGGTCACACTCTTCCTAATGCACCCCAGGACCCCATTGGCTTTCTTGGTGACAAGAACACATTACTGTCCCGTGGTTAACTTGTCCAGTGGGACTCCAAGGTCAATGTTTCAGTCTGAAACAGTAAATCTGATAAGCGAAGTCGTATTGAACAAATACTAAAACAAACCCTGGTTCAGGTCAGAATTGTTTCTTTGCTCTCTTTAAAAGTAAATAACAGTAACAAAACCCACAAAGCTAAGTTCTTTCTATCAAATGTGTTGCCTGATTGGAATTGGTACACAGAATATTCAGAAGAAAAAACAATTTAAAAAATTTATTTTCTACTTTTACATGTTTTGAAAGAAATTTTTTTTTTTTTAGATGTTACAGTACCTTTTACATTTTGCCTTTTTAACTGTTTTATACACTTTTATTTCTATGTCTATATCTTAGTTGATATTAATTTATGAGAACACTTGTAACTTGCTAGATACTTCCCAGTATTGTGTAAATGTGCATTATAGGTCAATTCAAGCCACAGTAAGCTACAATCTCTAGTGTTTTAATGATGGCTTTAACAGTTCTTTGGTGAATTTAATTTCCACTTCCAGCACCCGGCCTCACTGGAATCGTTGGAGGGCGCCCCAGAGTGTAAGTTTACTCCTGAACATTAACTTATAATATGTGATGGTAGAGTTCCTACTACTGGCTGTTACAAGTTTGAAAGAGCAACTGCAGAACCAAATAAAGTCCTTCTGTTGCATACTATTCTTAATAACTGATAAGATAATAGTGAGTGCTACAAAATATGCATGCAAATAGTAAAATTCTTCATTGGATATAGTTACGTAAGTCTCTGATGAGCTCATAATGTCTTTGCTTAATGAGCTGCAGGGAGAACTTTAAATGTGACATTATGGCAGGACAGTAGCTCAAGCTTGTGTTGATACATGCAGATTTCTGGGCCAAATTTCTCTTGTACCTGTCTCCTAATGGGCACAGAAAATTTATGTCTGTACCAGAGCATGAAGAAATGTGAGGTCAAATGTCCCAGAACATCCCAGAGAATGTTATCGTGAACCCATTACGTGAGCAAGCTGAACAGAATAATGTTTAGTATATTAAAAAAAATATATTAAAAAAAAATTCTTATTTGACTCAGTATTTTTCTAGATCTGGACAATCTATATGCTCATATTTCCAAACTTTTTCTTGTGAGCACTTAAAACTTTCCTGTCCCTAAGCAAATACTTTGATATGTCTGTCTTGCATGTGGGGGAGGAAACTGTAGATATATTTCCAGTAGTTCTGTGTAACTAGCGTAGGTATCAATGTGGGGCTGATGACAGTGGAATAGACTTCAATATCATGAAGTGCATCCTTTGTCAAGAAAATATTTTCAGTATTTTGGCTACTCCTCCTCTAATTTTTTATTTATTTTTTTTTTAAAGAATCTTACTTCTTAATAATGAAGCTTAAGGAATTTTTATACTTCTCAGGCTTTCCAGAGTTGCTTGGAAAACCATTGTTAATCATGGCTAAATTTAATTGCTTAGGCCTTTGTCTGGTGTATGAATAGTCTCAGGATGTAAGATCTGACATTTTTCATTAATTTCTGAATAAATGCATTTATGCTTGTTGTTTTGTGTGTCTAGGTCTCCAGTTTTGAAGCCGTTTTTCTTCTATTACCCCAAAAGTAATGTTCAGGTAAGACTGCTCAAAGCCTGCTGTGTTCTCTTTGAAGTAATGAAAAAAATTCTGCTGACTCTGGCATTTTTCAGTGACTTTGAGCCCTAAAACTGCAAAGTATCTTGGGAACTTTTAATAAAAAATATTTTCCCAGACACTAATGTTATTCACACAGACGTTTTACAACAATTGAATTCACCACCATTGTATTTTAATGGATTTGAATTTTGAAATGTCTTGCATCGAAACTGAACTTCTCTTTTCAGGTTCCTAAAATTGTAGGTTGGACTTCTTTTTACTGCATTTTCAAAGAGCATTTGTAAAAATTATAAATTTTTTGAAAGTTAATGGATGGCCCATCTGTAAAGAGAAGGCATTTGGGTGTTCAGAGAGTTGAACATTAATCTTGTGAACCTGGACACATCTTCTGACTTTTTGGGATGTCTTACGTTTTGTATATACTACTGGAAATAATTATTAAAATCAGTGAATTTCCTCTGATTTGCACAGGTGTTGCCTTAACAGAGAGTTGAGCTTTTTCTTTCCAAATACCCCGGCTATAAAAATTGAACTAGTAATTTCTGCTTTTGCCCGTACTGCAAAACCTAAAATTGTGAAAGCCTGTGGTGCCACTGTGACAGGTATCATGGAGGAGCCTGTGAATGTGATCTGCCTCTGTGGCCCTGTTTGGCTCCTAGCAATGGTTTCTTTCAGCCTGAGAAGTTACAGTGTAGGTGACGAGGCAGTCCTAGGTGAGAAATTAGTAAGGTGAAATGTAAGCTAAAGCTTACCAGTGTATGGTGAAATGTTGAGCTAAAGCCCTGCTTGTTTTCCGTTACACATGTACCTCTGTCTAGATTGAAGTCTTCAAGATAAAGAAACTGGTTTTACTGAAAAGATAAAATGTGTGTGTTTATAGATGTTGGTCTCTGCTTTGCTGAATGCATCAGATACTTCATTTGTTACTTGGAGATGGCAGACAACACTGCATGTACGCCCTCTTTTTCTAAGACCTTTAGCTATTGCATGTGTGTCATGCCAAGGCATCCTAATAATGATGCTTCTCACTCACTAAGTGCTTCCTCAGGCATTCACCATCAAGAAAGTCAGAATGTTGGTGTGTGACCACAGGTGGTGTGACAGACTTCTGCTTAGGGTGGTGAAGGGAAGCCTTGGGAGCACAGGAGGCAAGTGAAAAGGCGAAGAGGGAGTGGAAGTTGAACAAACTAGTAATTAAAACCCCAACTTTGTAAAACCATTATCAGCCACCAAAATTTAATGTTGTAAGCATCTCAAGAAAGGACTGTTTAATTTCCATTTTTTAACATGCATACAGTTCTTAGCACAAATAAGGCCAGATGTTACATTTTTCTTGTAATACACTGCATTAGTGGGAAATAATTTAAATTTTACAGAGGGCATGCTATTTAGTTATTAAAACTAAGTTTATAAACTGTACATAGTGGAAAAGTACTTAAAAAACCCCATCTTGTCGTTTAAAGAAGTTCAAGTATTTATTGTCACTTAAAATTTGCTTTATATGCATGGCTTGTCTCCGCAAAATTTAACGTGAAATATCTTTATGGAAGTTCAGCCTACCACTGTTTTGTTCATTAAATTAAATGTAAACTTACTAATTATCACTGTGTTCCAGACTTGGTAAAATGCTGTTGAGTTTAAATGGTAACCTAAGTTAGCAGGGAAAGAAAGTAGTGTCTCATCTACTCTTTACAATACAGAAAATCAAGGTCCTTGCTCTGTGTAACTCATCTAATGAATGCACTGATATGCTGTTAACAAAGTGCCATGTGACTTATCACTGTTGTACTGCAGTAATATTAAAGGTTATGTAAAAGTGTGGTATGATTCCAAGCCCTTGATTCAAAGTTTTAGCCACGTATTAACAACAGTGGCCTAGCTAGAGATTACAGAGTAAGGAAGGTATGAATTAACTCCTTTTCTAGATTGGAAGTTCGGTTACAAAGAGTTTAGTTGCTCTAGTTTGGCATTTGATCTAAACTCAAAAAAACTCTGTAAGCAGATTTTCAGATGTGTTAACATTGCCACAGTGGGTTCTTTTGTTTTGTTTGATACACTTTCTGGGTGTCAATTTGGATTCAATATCTCATTGTTTGTTGCCACTGCTCTTATGCAATTGTCCCAGTTTTATCATAGATCACCAGTGGTTTTACAGCACAGACTGTAGTTATTTTCCATATGTCCTTTTTCATGTCTAAAAAGTAACCTGAAACTTTTCCCTAGGGAGAAAAATTCCAGCAAACTTACTGAAGGCAGGATCAGCTTTTCTGAAATATATTTTTTTTTTAATCTTTGTCCTGCATAAGCGTTGAAGGCCTTTGTTCACTATTAGTTATTCTCCAAGAGCAACCTTAAGAAAGAGGGCTGAGTAGAATTACCATGCATTTGCTGGCAACTGAGCACTGATAATTGCTGCAGCTAATTTGGTATATATTGTTTTATTGTGGCAGTATAACCTGATTGCATGTCTGAATATTGAGTACTGTGAGTCCTCCAATACAAATGAAGTGGATGCAGTTAGTTTTTTCACACAATTATGGTATGTGATTTAACCAGAGAAACCTTTCCTTACATCTGAAGTGAATAGCCCAATCAGCTAATGAAATGGTACATGTGACTATGTATTTTTTTCAGACTTCTTTTCAGGAGGGTAGGGGTTGGGTGGGGGACGTAGAGGGAGGTCATCATGCAAGATGAGCAGTGCAGCATCTTTTATTTCATATTTTGATCTCAACATAAACCCAAAATACCCAGTATCAGTTTATTTTTTGTAAGTTGCTATGACAAAATTTTGTTGAATATAGGATCTGAAGAGAAGTTTGTCATTAATATGGACAGTGACATTAAGAAGAAAAGGTGGTTCTATCATAGCTGGAAGCTTTCAAGTTTTGGGATCCAACTTTCAAGAATTATGACACAGAAGTCCAAGTAGTGCTGCTATATAGAGAAGGAGATGGAGAGAGTGAGATTTGTCTTCCAACTGGACAGAGTGCTTCTTTGATTTTTTTTTTTTTTGTCCATATGCAAATATTTTTTTATGTTTATAATGGATAATTTTTATTATTGTGACTTTAAAAGGGAGCAAAAGAACCTTTTCTGTAAAGCAGTTATTGAAAATGTGCCAGATAAATACTAAATGACAAATATGCTTTATTTAGCCACACTGGTTTTCTAATTTGATGGTTTGAAAATGGGTATTCTTTTCCAGATCAACCTATTCTTAAATGGGCAACATGTTGAGACATTTGAGGAGGATCTCACGTTTACATCAGATGAGACTGTTACATTTGATGCACCTAAGATCAGCAGTGAATTGAAAGGTATGTTCATCTTTTTATTTGTGAATGTTTCATGTGCTGTTTTTGTCCTGGAAAACTGTCCTAGATTTTGTCTGTGAAATACGTTTTACCTCCTTATACTGTGTATTTTTAGGTCCACATTTGTGAATGTTTCATGTGCTATTTTTGTCCTGGAAAACTGTGCTAGATTTTGTCTGTGAAATACGTTTTTTCTCCTTATACTGTGTATTTTTAGGTCCATTGCAACACTTAATCTGCTTTTCTTGGAAGGGAGGAGGTTAGCATCACACAGTATAAAATGTATTTGAGACTACAGCAACTATGCAAATAAATTGGTATTCAAAAGACCTGAGCCTTTGACATAAGGCACTGTTCATCTGTCTTCAGTTGAAATCAAAACATAATTCTGAAGTATACTGCAGTCTTACTCAGTTAATCCTGGAAATAGTTGGGTTTACCTTACATCAAAATAGTTGTGTTCAGAATGGAGGATGGACTTACAAAATGCTTAGTATTTAGATAATTAAAATTTGGCCCTATTCCATACAGCAGCCTTCAAAAAATGAACAAGAATAGGATCAGCCTGGAACTGGTGACTTCTAAAGAAAACACACTAGGGTAATGATCCAGCATGATAATTGCTGTGTTGCTGTTAAACTTGTCTTAACAAAATTTTCTGCAGAAAGAAAAGAAGAAACTTGAGAAGGGCAAACCAGGGAGCCAAATGGAACAGGTCAGGATGTCTGCAGTGGGAAGGAAGTGTTCAGAGTTCTTCACTTAAGCTAGGTACTAGATTCTGGATTATCCAAAGCACTAGATGCTTGAAAATTTTTATATTCTTCATAATTGCAGAACAATGTACAGTATTTCTTAACATATAGTATAATTCTCTTCAGGTCCAAACAGAATCTTATTACCTTATTCCAGCTCCCAGAAAAACGAGAGAATGGATTCAGAGCTTTGGGTAGATATTTTCAAATCTAAATCAGGTGACTGTACCTAAAGACTACTTTAGGTAGTATTCTAAAAATAATACTAATGCTGAAAGAGTAATTCAGGGATTTAAGTCTATGTATACTCAAAAGACTAATGCTGTGAAAGCACTAGCATGTTAAGATTTATCCTGGATTCCAGATACAGGTGAGTAGTATTCCTTAAAACTGGTAGTAGAATAGTGTAGCAACTAATTATAGGTTAGTAGGGAATGTTCTGTCTCGTATTTCAGAATTTCTCTACATGACTGTGTTTTTATTGCCATTGGAAAGGATACTGGGTGCCTGATTGCCATGCATCAGTTCATGTTCACTGGCTATTGAAACATCTCTTCAATGTGAAGATTTACGTGTAGTGTAGAAAGAAGTTAAACTCTTAAGTATGTTTCCAGCTCTTAGGTCTGTGGCAAATCTAATGTCACACCAGAGGCTCTCTGATACCTAGGAGTTCTCAGGAGAGCAGTGGGGGATTTGCATCATCAAACTGCACGAGTTAAGGAATAGGAGGTCATTGTTCTATTTAATAAAGGGGTTGGCAAAGGTCCCAGTATCTTTTTTTTTTTTTTTCCGAGGGGACTACAATATTGGAAAAACAAAAATCTGTTAGACTCCCCATTGCCCTCTTACCATTTGAGAAAACTTAGAGGTGCCTGATATTTAACTACTGAATTCTTCAGTCTTTATTCAGATGGAACCTCACTTTTTGAGGGACAGCAGAGCTCCTCTAGTCGTTTCCCCTGAGAAGGATCTATAAACTTTTGCCCTTAGTTGTATATAGAAACGTTTTCTGTATGTGACTAAATGCTTACCTACTTCTGTGCCTTAATCCATGGAGAGCGTGGAAGAGAAATAGACAGATGGGTTTGACTGTAAAAGGAGTGACTTCTGCTAAAACATTTTCTGTCAGCATTTAGTAAGGAGGGAAGTATTTTTCTTAGTTTCATGGTTATCTAAAGTTTAAGGGACTGTTAGTTGTCTTTGAATAGATAAGAGAAATATGTGAAAATGGATCTCAAAAATGCTGCTAGATGTGGTTCTGGGAGGGTGGAATTTGAATTTACCATTTGCCCCAGCTCGGAAGGGAATTCTTTAGTAGATTTATTTAAGATGTTTATTAAATGAAAACAATTTCCTGATAAACAGATCATAAAAGATAAATCAGTTAGGGTAATAATAAATGAGAACACTAGAACACTGTCTTGAACTGGTTTTGTTTAAAGGGAGACTGTCAAAGACTGTCTGTGTAAAATGTCTGATGGATAAAAGACTTCTACAGCTTATACAATTTAAACTTTGTCATACTTCAGCCTCTGAAGAAGCACTACATTTTTTTTCTTGAATTCTGTATTGAATGAAGTTATTAAAAAATAATGTGATTTCTAGGGTGTATGAAGTATGGTAGTCATGTCCAAAATGAACAATAAGCTTTAGCTGGACTTTTTCAGATTCTCTCAATTTAATTATTTAATCAAACATAACATTTCCTAATTAAATAAATACATTCTTTTTTATTTTTCTGCCAAGTTTCATGGCACTTCTGCTTGCAGTTTTCATAGAAGTGAGCACAGAAAAGACTGAGCATCAAGCTCAAAACAAACCTTCTGTGTTAACTCTTCAATTGTATGCTTTCACTGTTTCACATTTCACATTACCATTACTTAGTACCAGTGAAGAACTGTTGTGCCAGACAAAACTGTAATTACTCTTTCAGCTTTTGACAGCAACATGATGGTTTATAAAACTAGGTCTTAGTTAAAGCAGTTTAACACTTATACATTCTTAGTTGGGCTGTGGGTAGATGTTCTCCTCCTGATTCAGTAGAAGAGGTTGCTGTAGTGAGCCCTCAGTTGTTTCTTACTGTTTTCCCTGTTACTGCCACTCAGATGTGCCATCAAAAGTACTCCTGTAAGTGTTGCCCGATCTGTTTCAACCAAATAAGTAATGTAAACTAGATACACTATACAAATTCTGCATGATGTTGTAGTGAGACATTTTTGTCATCCACAGTATCTTCCGTCCCATACCCAAATGAACTTGTGGGATCTGTCCAGCTGCCACTGCCACAGATTTGCAGCCTCACTTTCTGATAGGGACAATGGAAACTGCTGCCAGTAGGATGTGGATGTAGTTTCTTTCTTACTGAGCTTTGTTAAAGCTCTTTAGATTGACCTGGCTCATGACAGAGGAGTCAGCAATTGTGTGGACAGGAAGGAGTTGAAGGTAATGATTTGGGTAGGGCTTACTGGTTTGGCTGGGTTTACCTGATCATCTCATAGAGTTCATGGAGTATGTATCTACCCATGCCTTAACAGTAGGTGCATTTTAAATCATAACTGAACCGACCACAGAGTAATTTTTTTTAAAGTATAATCTAAGCATTCATTTGTATCTTGCAGGTGAATTTAGATTGTTACAGTTACACTTTTTAATACAGTCTGCCATTCACCAGCATTTAGTGCATAACATACAGTATTGGATCTTTGATGCTCTAAAATGAAAAGCAAAACTAGCACAGAAGTTTGATATCCTCAGCAGAAGCAATAACAATACAGAAAACATAAACTGATGCATTTTCAAATTGCACTGTGTCATGCAACATGACGCTTGACCTACATTATCAATTTGCAAGACACTCTCTTCAACTCCTTTACATCTGACAGCTTTTAACACGTTAGACTGAAATTTTCTGTGACAAAAATATGCATAGAGCTGAATTGTTTGGTGTTCTAAAAAAAACACTTTAAAACTATAATTTTGGACATTGGTTGCTCCCTGTAGCAGCAGCAGCTGTGACAGAAGGGCAAGCAGGAAGGCTGTCGCTTTCCACACTGCGTGTCCCCCTGCTGGTGTCCAGGCAGCAGAGAGGGGGAGAGCTGCCACTTGCCTGCAGAAGGATGAGAGAAGGGGACAGGAAGGGGACAGAGGAGAGAGAGGGTAGCTGAGGGGGGAGAAATCTAGTTCAAGTCAGGAGTGTAGATGAGTCTGTCAGAGAGATGCTGGGACTGACAAGCCAGGGGTGCCGGGAGAGCTGGTGTGGCTGTAGGGAAGCTGGTTCAGAAGGCACACTGCCTGGACGTTACTGCATTCCCACTGCCTGACAGCTGGGCTGCAACCTGTGCGTCAGGTGTCAGCCTTAGCTGCCATCAGCAGAGAATGGAGACTCGGTGGCAAAATGAGTGAGTGCTGCTTCTCTCACTTTGGGGAACAAAAACTAGATGGTAACAGCCTCCTACTCTTAGTAAGCAACAATTCAAGAAGTCTGTGCTGTGCAACCTCTAACCATTAAACCTCATGTACAGACTCTGAATTTCTGACAAGAAAATTCCACAGGACTGAACTTCTGGATTTGGGCAAGAGTGGGTTTGCTTTTTTTGATACGTAAATGGATAAAATTAATACTTTTGTATTGAACTTTGTTCAATGAAGCACAACAATCTTTATGTTCCTAAAGGCTTGAAAGTCCAGCACTCGAGACATTGGCAAGTTAAAAGATTAAGGTTGGCTTCCTACAGAGCATGCATTTATGACCATTTACAACCTTTTCTTATATAATACTATTTACTAAATCAGTAATTTGAAAAAGTAATCTTGCTTTTCTTCTATGCAGTTGAATAAATAACTTCGAACTGTGCATATGAAAGTGGGACACACGTGTTATCTTGAAAAGGAATTTTAAATTGTCAGTGTTTTCTACAGACATTCACAGAATAAACAGAATTAGCAGGACAGTAGCAACTCTGTGTATTTTCCACCTGCACTGGAAGCAGGGAAATCTGTGTGTTATGGGGGAAAAAGTTGTCATCTAGACAAAAAATGGTATGTAGCTGCTCTGCCTCCTTCAGAGATACCACATTGCTAAAACCAAGATGAATTTTCATATTTAAATGTGGTGGAAGAGGGAATGTCTGCCACAGTATTTGGCTGTAAAAAAAAGGTAAAAGGGATTTGGGAAATGGAGGAGGGGGAGGAATCAATTTCTTAATTTTGGCCTTCGGCCTCACTTCATGTTCCCTGAGATGTTCCTGTGGGACAAAAGCTTTGGAAATGTTTTCAGGAATACTACAAGCAATGTATACTCTTAAAATGTAAGAGTATACTCTTAAAATGGCCGTTACTTCTTCAAACTGTACTATTATTTGTGGCTATCATTAAAATATATTCGGTTTTGTATTGTGTAGATCTGCCAAGTGGACCACATACTTATCGCTTAGAAGATCTTGCCTATACCAGAAGTGGAGACAAAGGCAACTCTGCAAACATTGGTATTTTTCTTTTTCTTGTTTTCTGAAGTGATGCAAAATTTTCACATATTAATTACGTATTAAGTCCTCTTCCCAATTTTTTAGACATCGCTCACGTCACCTGTTTTTTTTTTTCCTCTTTGTCTCTGTGCTGAAACAAAAAAGTAAGGATGAAGTGAAGCTCCCCAGAGTTAAGAAATGTTTTTTTAAGGTTTCCTTTACACATTAGTTGCTACCCCTGCACGTGGATGTGTCACATAATGTAATCTCTTGGTTCTCTGACCATGTATAATATTTCCATGTGTGAATTTTGTAGGATGTATATGGCTAAAACATCAACAGTGTTAGGAAATACTGAAGTTGCTCTTGCATATAAGTAAAAGTTTTTATGATATTGTTAATCCAAACAGTGTATTTCAGTGTGCAGTCTCTTTACATTGATTGTGCTACTTCTTGCATTGTTTAATAATTCCTTCTATTCCTTACTTCTGCATGCAACAATTGGCTCTCTTACTTGTTGGAAGATGAGAGCGTGTGGTGTTCAAAGCTCAGTATGAATTAAAGGTGCGTTTGGGACTTGATTTGCTATCAGCTGTCATGCTAAAACTGACGAATTTTGTTCATGTCTATTTAGGATTATAGTTTTCTTGTACTTGTTTGAGATTTTTTTGGGTTTAGGAATGGAGGAATGTTTATTTATTTAATTCCCCCCGCCCCGTGGTTGAGCCCTGTTGCAATGTAGCATTGCAGAATCACGATGATGCAGAGCTAATAAACTTCCTCAGACACAAAGGCACTGCCATGTTATTAAGGAACAACAACAACAACAAACTTGACCTCTAAGATTCATTCAGCTTTTGAAGTCCACAGATAAAAAGATCCCTTTGACATAAATCTGCATACCTGCTACTGCAGTGGAAATTCAGCTTCAGCATAAAGTTATCTGGAGCTTATGAAAGCATATTTACAGCAATAAAAATGTAAGCGTGAGAAACCACAATTACATCAGTGGGGCAAGGACCAAACCTTCGGTCACTGATCATGCCTTGTTACAGTTAATTGCCATTGCTTGTCTAAGTTTTGCAGACTGTTCAGGGGAAGAGAGCTGCCTGTGGGTTGTTTGTTGTGATGTCGTTGTTGTTAGGTGTCTCTCAGTGGCAGGGACTACTTGCAGCCAGAAGTAGTCTGTTAATGCATCACTTATTCTGGGCGCATTCTTTCATGTTATGCCCCACAATATCTCTCTACTGACACAGGGAAAGCTGTCAGACTGGTTTTTTTATTGTTTTCTAGCTCATAAGAGGATCCATGTGTACAGTTTAAGTTAAGAGGAGGATCTCAAACCAGTTTTGAAAGGATAAATGCAAATTGATTTTAGCAGCTCCTATTCGAGCTAACCCCAGTTATACCTAACAGGTGTGATAGCACGGCATCCCCTCTACTATCCATACCTAAAGAAAACTTTGACAGCTCAAGCCTTGGAGAATTACTTCAAACATCTTTTAGAGCAAGAAAAACCTGAAGAAGAACTAGTAACAAGGTGAGTAGCTTGCTACACGAGTCCACAGCTGTATGGTAGATACGTCATGCTATCAGAAGTTATTTTAAAGTATATTAACATAAATATTGCAAACCTGTGTGTGTTGTCTTCAGTATTTTTAATGTATTTTTTTCTGTGCCTTTTTAAATAACTTGAGCAATAGTCATCGAAGAAGAGCATGAACTTGGGCCTGTCCCAAATCTGGACAAAGTCAGTGAATCTGTTTAGTGAAGGCATTTAAATTTGCAGAAGTAACATATTACTGTTGGGGCTATTTCTTTGATTTGTTCCCATACAGAATGTCTCTACAAGATAGAAATAACTTCTAATGGCCTTTGAGAAATGTATCTTTCTATTGGTTTTGAAGCACTTGGAGACTGCAGGAGCCTTAGCAATTGAAGCTTGCCAAGCCCCACAGCTTCTGCAGAACTGGGAATTTAAAATCTCTAAAAGGCTACTTGGAAGACATTCATACAGCCAGTATAGACTGGAGCCCAAACCTACCTTACAAAACATTCAGTCTTCTAAAACCTGTTTTGATACCAAGTCAATTACTCTGTAAATATGGAGATTCTGCCCAAATCACTATATATTTCCATGGGTAATGGGTAAACTTAAGTGTCATTTTGCTTGTTCAAAAAGCTTGAGTCAGAAAGGTGCAGCTCAAAGCTCGGAGAGAGCTTTGTGTTATTTTAACCCCCAGTCTTTGAGTTGTAAGTGCTGTTCTTTGTCTTCATAAGCAGCTCAGTGCAGATCTCACCCACTGTTTTGTGAGTGCTAACAAATCTATGTATCTAATAAATTGTGATACCAAGAAATGTAATCAAATTTCCTGGGAAACAGAACAAAGAAGGTAAGAAATAAAAAATGTCAGGCAACCTAATGATATTTCTAGAAATTGATTCATTATTGTTTCTTAATGCTGTTTATGTTCATAAATAAAAGTTGAAATTTGCTGTGTCTGGATGAAACCAATTTATTTTGATTAATTAGATTATCTGTTCCTGGGTTTGGCTTCCTTTAATGATGTGATAATGGAGCTCTGTGAGTGAACTGAAAAACTACTTGGGGAAAAAGAATAAATCCTTCTGTGGTAATATTTAGGATTATAAGGATTATGCTCATGTGCTTCAGATTGTATAGTTTCTTTTTAAATTACTTGTTTGTTTTTTAGTTTTTACTGTCATAAAAACTCATTCTATCTTTCATTTTCCTTCATTTCCTTTATTTAATTTGTGAGTGGTTAAAAAAAAAATATTAGTTTTGCTACCTTAAACATACCAGCCATGGCTCTGCCTCACTACAGAATAGATTGACAGCCAGTTGCTTTTAATTTTTTCATTAAAGCTATGAAATAGGTGTGCTAAATAGAGAAAAGGTGGGATTATTTTGGTAGAGAATGCTGAAAACTCAAACTTCCAGATTTTCAGGTAACATGGTAATGAAAGATGGTCTTTCACACCCCCCCATGCCCCAAAACTCCAAACCTATGTGACTTTGTCCTCCCCTATGTAGAGTACATTCTTAACAAATCTGATCATATTTTAAGATATGTGTTAAACTTTTCAGTCAGTGGTCTTAGGTCAGTCATTTAAGAAAGATAGTAAAATTATCCTATGAGAATTTGCTGGTTTCATCTTCTGAAATATGGTTATCTTCTTTAAGTTTTGAGAGTATCCTGATGGTCAGAAATACAGGCATGACAGCTGATTTATTTTTATAGGATAGCTTTTAAGAGCTGAAGAACAAGAAATGTGGATACTAATGCTTCTAGTTTTCTTTTTTGTACTATGGCAGGAAAAAAATACTTCAGTATGTGCCTCTTCAAGCCTATGGACTCAGTTCCTGCTTTTCTCTGATGGGAAGAGGAATACCATCTTTTCCTTGATAGGATTTTCCTTTCCTTTCTTTTTAAATGATTTTTGAGCCATTATTATTTCCATGCATTTCAACAGGAAATTCACTGGGAAATCTGACTTCTTTGAATACGTACAGACAACACTTCAAAGGAAGTAGTTAAGCAGGCACCCCATTGTGCATAAGCATAGGAGTTCAGCTACAACAGTGAATTTTCCTGGTTTTACTGGTTTCTGTCACAGACTCAGTATTCTTTGAAGGTTTTATTTGTTTTCTGTGCTTTTGAAAAGCAGCTCTTAAAACTTTTGATTGAATTGTACAATTAGGTAATACTTTTTTTCCTTTAGATCTCAGTTAATTAAACTTAAATTGTTTAATTATGCTGGATAAACGGATGCCAACATTTTGGTTAATGTGGTGGTGTTGCTTAAGACTATTAGATGGTTATAGTGTTTTTTTTTTATTTTGGGAGTGTATTTTTTCGTTTGAAAATATTTTGGGTGCTCAGATGCTTCAAACAGGTGTTAAAATATTGAAAATGCTGACCTTTGTGTATTATTTTGTAATCCTAGCTTTAGCTATAGTATCTCACTGTAAATATTGCCTCAAAGTACTTGAAGTGAATGTGCCATTCTGTAATGTTCCAAATTAAGATCTGTTGTTTGTGTTAACATACTCCCTCTCCCAGAATTACTGCAGAAAGGCAAACGAAATTCTTCCACTCTTCTTGTCATTTGCTTCTGCTTTTGTACAGTCTTCAATTTTTATCCTTGTTTAAATGATTGGTTTTCATGCAACTTCATTTGAGAGCTGAGGTATTAGCTTCTGGAATACATATTCCATCAGTCTAGTTCTTGTGGGAGAGCTCTGCCAAGACGTCTTTGTCAGTTTTTCAGAGTAAAGTTCAGTGTAGTGTTTTGGTAGACCTCTAGCTCTCATGGTATGTGGTTATTGGTAATTTGTATTGAGTTTTTTAGTTGAGTAGTTTAGTTTTGTGGGGTCCTCTGATCCTGCTATTTATTTGATTATGCTATTGAATTTAGCAAATTATGTAGATGACTTACTGTAGAAATTGCCTTATTCCTCATATTCCTGTTGTCTAGTAGATCATTGTTAAATTAATTGAACTTTCCTGCCTTCCCAACTGATTTTTCCTTTAAGCATGACAATGTTGCTTGGCAACTAGTTTTCAAGGAAGGTCAACAGAATGGTAACACCAGTTTTCTTCTTAATAACAATTAATGATGTTAATACTGAAGTAGAGCGTGGTGTAATGAGAGAGTCAGAAGGAACAGTGGCAGGAGGGAGACAGGTGCAGACACTCCGTGAGTGCTGCTCACAAGAGTGTAACAAGGACTGAAGTGTTTGCCAGGCTGCTCAGCAGAATCCTCTCCTTCCCTGAAAGGTTTGGGCCATGTGCCCAAGATGCAAGGGCATACAGAGCTTTGGATAGCAGCAACAGTCGTAATGTTCACAGTGCTAAAAAGGAGCTAAAAAAGGTAAACCTGAGTGACAAAATGGGCAGTACGAGAGCACAGCAAGAAAATTCCATCTATTTCAGAGGACAGGTTTGAAGAATATGTCCAAAGCAGATGATGATCAAATAGGTGACTGAAGAAAAATAGGCGATGTTAGAAGAAGTGTGAGTTAAATTGCAGCAGTCGAACATCTGGAGACAGAGTGAGAATTGGGTGTCGTTTTTCTCCATTATTCCTCATGTCTTGCTGATGTTCTGATTAAATCCTTTCCCATGGAGAAAAAGGAAAGCTATTGAATCCTTAGACAAAGAAAATACTGAAGAAAAGAAAAACCAAAGAAAAACAAGAAGAATACAATGAAGATGGCAAAACACTGAAAAACTGTGCAAGGAGAGACATATGGAAACATGCTGTAGACCTATTTATGGAATTTGAAACAACTTGGTTAGGAAACCACAGAGCCATTTGCCAAACTTCTACAAAAGTTTCCAAATTGGAACTGTAACAGTCAAAAGTAAGGATGGAAAAATGCTTACAGTGTCAATGGAACAGAAAAACAGGTCTGTCACACTAAAACAAATTTTTATCTGAATGAACTACATAGCTCCAAGAAAGCATTGAAATTAGTTCTATTCATCTTTTCTTATAAAATTATCTGTGGTTTGTCATAAGAGTTTGATCTAGTGACTCAGCTATTTCTCAGCAATAAAGAGGAAGCCTTCCCAATTAACTGGTGGCCTTTGTTAGCAAAAGTGAGCTCCAGGAATTAAGCTATTGTATTTTTCAATATCAGAACCAGGAATTATTCAGAATACTTCCCCTGCCAAGTGTATTCTCTGAGTTCATACTGGATCTTGCAGCTCTTGTCTACAGAGTTTTCTGTATGGGGTTTAACTCTTAGGAGGAAAAAAAAAAATGTAGAAAAGAAACCACATTAGAAATGAATGAGTTTTGAAGCTGAGTAAGAGGAGAATAATTACTTTATGGTCCTACTTTAAAACTATTAAAAGTGTGTGGATTTGGTCTAAGAGGAAGGAACAAGAACAGTTAACAGTTAACTTTTAGGCTTGACTCAGCAGTGGGATGCCATCAGAAGCATGAAATTTTTGCACACTGTTTCTTGCTTGATGTTCTGTGCGTTTCGTACAAATTTCCTGAGAAATTATGTGTAGATTTTATTTTGCAGATACGAGTTGCCAGGGATCCATGGATTAAATTTTGTTCTCAAGAATTCCCTTGGTGGTGGTGGCATAGCATCTCTAAGAAGTGACCCTCAGGCACGTATCAAAATGTTGATTTTAATGTAGTTATCTCTTATAACTGTTTATTGCACTGTTTCTTTGTAACCAGCTTTTGGGCTGGAACTGTAAGCTCTTAGATTTGACTATTTAGTTCCTTTTAATTTCCTTTTAATACATATTATCTACTTAATATACTGAAAATTAATATAAATCTTAAAGAGAAAAATAGCTGGGTAGTTCTTTTGTGTTGACAGCATTATGTGAATAATGATGCATGAATTGGATAGCACAAAATAAGATGCATGAATTGGATAGCAGAATTCAACCCAAAATAAATTTGTTTTAGCACTAGATACCAAATAAATTGAAGAAGCTCTTCAGTCTGTTCAGGTTTAGATGCTTCAAAACTCAACTGTATAGTTTTATTTATTTAATTATACCGATTCACAGGTGAAAAAGCCAAACAAATGGAAAAGGTAGATAGAACTTTGAATAGCCTACAATCCAAGGCTTGATAAAACTCACTCAGGATTTATATATATGTAGAGATAACTTATCAGACCTACAAAACATACTGAATTCTTACACTGATTATAGGAAAAATACCCTGTTAAACTATTATTAAAAACTAAATTTAAAATGGTGGTATATTTAGATAGTAAAATGAGATGTTGGTTTATTTTGGTTTTGGTTTTTTTGTTTGTTTTTCTTCTTACAGGGCAAAGCACTTGGACAGATGCTGTTGGATTTCCAAATTAAAAATGTTCCTGATTTAAAGTCACTGATAGAGTAACAGGTGTTTGATACATATGCTTTTAACACTGAGTGGTATAAAAACATGTTATAAACAAGAACTGGCTTCTTGAGTGATTTTTTTTTTTTTTAAAGTCAGAGAGTAGAAATTAGTGACAGTTATCTCTCAGAGGCTTAGCTGTATGGCACAGATTAGCAGATGTTTTGAGTAATACCAGGCTAATAGCTTTGTCTGTGACTGATAACACTTCCTGTCTAGATAACACATTGGATGAAGAATTAATTTATTTCCTGTAAAATAGAATTAATCAAATTGCAACATAACCTTTAAATATGAGACAAGATGATCTTTGTTCCAAGATGGAGCTTTCCAAATAAAGTCTGAGAGGAGGAGAGGGAGATGGCCGGGCAGGAGGCAGTGAGGTGGCACGATGCGGTCGGTCCCCTGTGAGGGGCGTTTGTGCTGTGGGTGGGGCGAGGCCGTGCAGCCAGCACCGCCCTGCCCACCGGCAGCTCTCCCTCCCGGGCAGGCAATCAGCAGAAGTAATAATCGTTAACTGTTACATGAGCGATGGTAGTAAATGCTGACCTTTGGTGGGGATCCACCCAACTTCAGCACTTTGTCCGCTTAATGACAGGCTTTATTATTACACTCCTCAAAAGCTCTTACTAATTAATCCCCTGGTTAAAAGCACTGACTCGTAGCACATGGCAGATCTTGGTATAGGAATAAAGCTGAAGGTGAGGCAGGGAGAGTGCTGTGAGCTAGTCTGCCTGCTCGCTCTCTCCTGATAGTGCCATCCTGGCAGGGAGGAAGGGGGGCCCGGGGTGGATGGATACCTCATTTTGCTTCAGAGCTGTTAACTCTTCATTTTGCACAGCAGTCTCCTGCCTGTATTAAGTTCATTTGTCTGTCATTTGCATTGGCCTTCCTGCAGAAAGGTCTGTCTCCTGCTGTGAAGGAATATCATCTTGAATGCAGTGTGCTCCATCTCTCCTGACTCCCAGTTATCACCTCCCCGTCTCCCTCCCTCCCTCCACAATATGACTACCATCTTCAGACTAGGGTGCTCCTAAACTTCTTCACATGATTAAGCAGAAGTTTAAAGATCCATATCATACTTTCTGAGAGAATATCAAGGTGGAAAATCAGGCCAAATAACTGTCTGCATTTCCTCTGCAGAAGTCCTAGAAATATTACTCTACATGTTCAGGCATTTTATATTCAGAAATTAATATTTTCCTTTATTTTGATGACACGGTATTAAACAATGAGTGCTGGCAAAATGCAGCATTACTAATATTAGATAAAATGATGAAAAAATATTGTTTGTTACCAAAACTGTTAGTTGTTAGTAAATCCCACTGTTACTGATTTTCTAGCCTCTTGTTTGCTAATGAGGACTATACAATTAATTGTTCCAACATTTTCTGTGGCTTTGTTCATCTGAGTTGAAGGTACCATAAGTGAATGTTCTATTCATCTAAACGTACTACTCTCTTAACAAATGACAAGCACTATCTGTGTTTACAGCATGATTCAGTCTAGTTGTAAAAAAAATGAATCATTGCTTCATTGCAGAAAAATATCCAGCTTAACTTGAGAGGGAAAACAGCATGCTGGTTTTATGTTTACAGTCATTGTTTGTTAGAAAATTCTTCTTAATAATTTGGAAGCCTCTTAGTTTAGCAAAACAGACCAAGGTAGTGAGAGGAAATAAAAAAAGGAGTTGACTTCAGTAGCAAACCTACAAGGATACAAAGGCTACAGTAAATATTTGCAGTTCACTCAATATGCTGCCTAAGTGACTCTGTAAATGTGTATGCAATAACTTTTTAATAAAAATGAACGTTTATAAAGCGTAAATTTGTTATAGTTGTTTTTTGTGATTCTTCTACTGGAAGAGAGTGATACTTAGTCCAAAGGTTCTTTGTTTTGGGGTTGTTTCACTTGCCTGCCGTTGCATGCATTGCCTTGTCGGTTCCCTTCTTCCTTCAGATTTTGTGTGTTCTGTCCCTAGTCTTTGTAAAATACAAAAACTGAAAAAGTAAATGATACTGTTTTCTAGAGAGCTGTTCATTTACAGCTCTACAATGACAGCTATAATTTGTTGAAAAAAGTGGTACAGTGTTCAAATGGATTGGATATGGGAACACAATGGTGGTATTTTTTTATCTCTGGAATCCTCCCTTTTGGATGCTCTGAAACCATCCTTCACAAACATGTTTTCTGTCTATTATTTCTTTCAGTGCACCAGCTTAAACCAAGCAGCACTGCTTTTCAGATACTTTTCTCTCAAATTGGAGCCTCCAAAAATCCCTATCCAAAGACTTTATTCTCCTTGACCTCCTTAACATGTTTTGAATTCATGAACCTGTACTTGTTCCAGCAGTCCCAGCTGACCTGAAAGCTTGTCAAAGCTGCATTTGTTTCTTCTTCTATGGTAGAGGTTGAGTAATTGAGAAAGATTTAGTTAAAACATAAACTGTACTCGAAGGTGAGCATGTTTGCAGTCAGCATCACTAAATTCAGTCAGTTAAATGCATTTTGCTTGCTTGTTAAACCAGCGTTCCTCCTCATGTAGGCAAGAACACATCCTTCCAGTAGTTGCCTTTCTCTCCTGCTTTTTCTCTGCTGTGTTAGCTGTGAGGGCAGGACAGAGTTAAGTAATTCCTAGTATATAAAATAAGGTTCCATCTAATATATGATTTTCAGTGTAATGGAAACTGGCTCACAGCTTTTACCTGGGAAGTTTTTGTGCTGTAGCTCTTCTGCACCACAAAACAAAACCTGTGTTCTCTCACTTCTCACAGCTTTCTTACTGCATCTCTCCTCAACAAACTCTCAAATTGTGGATTTTATCACTAAATTATTCTGTAACAACGAACAGTCTATACAAATACTTTGTCAATATCTGCTGTTTTATATTTAATATTTCAAAGTGGCTTCCCACTGCAGTTTGTGTATCAAAGGTACAAAATGTATGATACAAAAGTGACCGAAGATGAAGGATGTGCCAGACTGTTGGAAGCACAAATATTTTCAGGTTTGCTGTTTTTCCACTAAAATACGGGGTGGTTTTCCCCTTCGGAGCAGAGGAAAAATAATTCTAAGTATAATTTTCACATTTTGTTTTGCATCATGGCAGTTTGAAAGCAATAGAGTGCAGCCCTTAAGGTTTGAAAGCAGAAAACGTTGGGTTGCAGGTTGTCTTTCAAGAATCTGAATGTTTTCATTCAGAAATGCCTTTGATAATGTATTAAGTGCTTTGCACACAGCCGTGCTCCCAGCAGTTGCAGGGGGGTGGCTGGGTGGATTTCACTTGCTGACTGGAAGAGCGAAGCTGTTTCAGTCAGTCCTGTTTGCTGTGTAATGGCTTCTGTGCTTCTTCTGTTGGGGTTGGGGTCTCCAGGCCTTGAGAGCGAGTGGGTGGTTTGGGAAGGAGGGAGAGAGGAGGCTCAGTAGTGCCTAAGGTATGAGGAAATTACACTGCAGAAATACCACATCTCACCTTACTTCTTTGAAACCCTCCCATGCATCAAGGCTTTAAGCTTCCTCTTCATGGCAATTCCTCTTCTTTTGTTTCATCCTGGTTTCCATTCTGGATTTACTTGAAATGGACCCTGGTGATTTTGGGATTAAAGCTAACTGGCATTAAGAAAGCAAACAAAGGATGCCTCTAAGTAAAAGATCCCATTGGGAAATACCTGTTTCTGCCAGGCAGCTCAGCTGAATTCCTCTACCTTCCTTCAGACTGAAGCATTTTGAACACCTAGTTCAACAAAGACCATCCAGATGCATCTTGACAGCTTTGGGGAAGGGGGGTGTGGGGTGTGTCAGGGACAGCAGCACAGTGCAGAACCTGTGCTTATCCTTGAAGGAGGCAGATAGGAACCTTTCTGTGCCAGGACTTTCTGTGGAGTCTTTGATAACCTTCTGCCTGTGGCACAATGCTCCAGATCTGGATCAGCTGCTGTGACCATCACCAAATGGGTGAGACCCTTTATCACAGTGAAGGGTTTTAATCTTTTCTCCTGTCCCTTAAAAATAAACTAGTTAAAAATGAGAAAAGTAACCCCTCCTCCCCGCATTTTCATTTACTAGTAGCAAAAGCTTCAAACCTTTCAAGTATATTTAAACATCTGGATTTGAAAAGATGCTGGCTTAATTGTGTAATTGTGTGGCAGGCAGCTAATCCACAGGGTTCCTACCAGCTTCATAAGCCACATCTGTAAGGTATTTTCTCTTTTGTAAGTGATGCGATTTGAAGTAAGGGGGCTTGTAAGGGCTAAGCCTCTGTTGCATAAAAACTTGGCTGAGACTCTCCAGAGAAAATCCCAAATGGCTGATCACTCTGGTAGGACCTGCTAGGGCTCCGGCCTGCTACCTGTGACAAAATGGGGTTATGGTGGGCCTCCGTCTTTGCAGATGAAGCAAGCTAAGGATAATCTTCAGTTCTCCAGGAAGCTGTTCTCTGCTCCAAGCAATAGAGAACATGCTGTCCCAAAACAGTTGACCTGTGGAGAGGCGGCAGGCCCTTCATTACACACAAGTGCTCCTTGCTTCCCTTTTTTTGTGCTAGGCAGCGTGTACGTTGCGGGGTTGGCCTAAGCATCCACAACCTGCAGCTGGAGAGATGAGGGAAGTTGGTAACTTTAGAGCCTGGTTTGGGGAAAGATGCTCTAACTTACTCAAACTACTGCTTGCCCGGCGTTGCTTCACCACTACCTCCCCTCCACCGTGCCCACCCCGGCTTTCTCACGGAACCTGGTGAAAACTGGAGCGAGAGCGCTGGCGCAGGAGCGGCTGCGGCACCAGCAGAAGTCAATGGCAGCGAGCCGCCCCCCCCCCTGCCACTCTCCGGGCCCTGTCATCTTCCAGGTAAGATGAATGTCTGTGCCATCCATCATCCCGCAGCCCCCGAGGGGGCGGGAATTTGCTCGGCTACTGAAACTTCCGAGCCTCAGACGGCGCGGCTTTGTTGACTTGACAGGGCTGCTCTTTTGTGGGCTCTGTTGCCAGGATTTCGCCATTTACATAATGGATTAGCATGACCCAAAACGCACGGGAATGCCTCTCCGCCTTCCCCCGCTCTTTCTTAGCCGGCGGACTTTTCGGGCGAGTTAATTTATAAACGTGACTTCCCTCTCTCCCTCGGAGACCTGTTTTCTTGGGAGGAGGGAAAGGCTCCGGGGAAGGAGCGCCCGGAGCCCCTTAGGTCCCGTCGGGGAGGTAAGGTGAACGAAGCAGCTGGGGCGCCGGGCCGCCTCCGCTGCGCTCCCCGGGGCGGACGAAGGC